TAGCTGCAAACACTGCCTGCCTGTGTGGGAGTGTGTTTGCTCGCTCACTATCTGGGCTGAGGGTGGCGGTGTGTGCCTAATGAGTGTTTGAGCCCGCGTGCATGGCTCTGAGCCTGCATGCTTGCCTGTTGGGTACCTCAGCAGTTATCTGGACCTCTGGCATTGTGACGATGTGGTCAGTGCATCTGTACTTCTGGTTGAGTGTCTGTATGTGTGTCTGTATGTGTGGTGTGGGGGGTTTAAAGCTCTGCCACTGTCTGATGTGTTAAAGTATGGGGGTCTGTATTGACGTAATTGTCAAAGTGCACACATCGGTATTAATGATGTGTGGTAACGTTAGTGCCTGCCTTTGGCCATGTGCTGAGGAGTGTTCTACTACCCTGGATACCCAGGGCTGAAGAATGGTGGCTTCTGATAGCTGGCCCCTTCTGAGACCCACTATGAAGCTGTAGGGTCACCACTACAGGGGGACAACTGGAGGGCTCCCTCTTCCCATCGCTAGATCCTCATGGATTCTACCCAGCTCTTGGTGAGCTAAGGATAGTTGAGAGTACTTTTCTGGCCAGATCTACAAGATAAGGGCGTAGAATGAGGGATTCATGTGACTTAGGGTAAATAATAAAATATTCCATGCAGCAAGTCATATGCCTTACCTGGAACAACATTTGTTGGGATTCCTCCATGTCAGGCTTTCTGGAAGCTTAGGGACTAGTGGATATGTGGGGTGGAACAAAGCCACTCAAGTCTTCTCATGTCCCCTGGAACTGAGACGAGGATGCTAATGAGAACGTGTGCCACCCACGCCACTGGCAGACATAGGTTTTGAACTTGCTCACCTCCCCAGCTCCTGCGCCCACAGCTACAAATCAGGCAGAGGAGAGGCACCGGCCAGTGTGCTGTCTGGGAGGCTTGCACCAGTGTGTGGAACTCAGTGTTCTGAGAGCTGTACATGCGTGAAGTTGACTAGAGCTGTGATTGATAAAAGACTGCGTGTTTTATACACACACACTTTTCAGAGCCTCTGTTTCACTGTGTGAAACACATGCAGCAATCTGTGTTATGACATATCGGTGTTGAGGTGGAAATGTAGTTAGTAATGTGTAAATGTACAACAGCTGGCTTGATGAAAAAGTATTTTACATACATACTATAAAATTAATTATGTAATTTACAAGCATAAGGGAATATAGCAGTTTACACACATCCTATTCAACGCTTGTAAGTTCCTCACAGTCAACTGATTCTCCCACAGTGCTTGCTGGGGTTTCCCACTTTCCTGCCCACAGACAGGCCCACAGACAGTTGGCTGGATGGGTACAGTTCTGAAGTGAAGTGTGTTGGGTGTTTCATTTTCATAAAGGAGGCTAATGGAAATGAAACAACTTAAATATATGTTAAAACTTTGCCCATTTCAGTGGTGTGAGAGGTTTCTTGTTGGACCGAGTAAAGGTGTTTGAATATTGGGAAAGTATTTCCCGAATACTTTGCTTTGCTTAATAATATAATGGCTTCAGGTGCCACACACTTAAGTTTAAGAGGCATTGTTAATATTTTTCAGTTTTTTTAAACTCTGGGCAATCAAGATTCGGCTGCTGGCTGATTTTCCATGGTATATACCTCTGTGGTGACTGATTTTAAATTAAGAGCATGGTACCACTGAACCCCGAGTTGGGCCGTGACATACAGCAGCATGCAGGTGAATGGCGATGTGAGGGCTTCATCTGGAACACCCTCCCCAGGTTCACAGTTCGGATGCTGTCTTGAAGGCTGTGGGACTTTTAGGAGGTGGTGCCGGGCTCATGGAAGTGTTTCTTAGGGGCCGGCCTTGGGAGGATATTACCCATCCCTGACTCCACTCACCTTTTCTCTGCCTTCTGTCTGCCACTATGTGAGGCGTCTCTGCCACACATTCCTGCTACCAGGGATGGAGCTGCCACCATCCCTCCCCAGCGTTGATGGACCAAACCTCCTAAACTGTGACCTGAAGTAAAACCTTCCCCGGATGGGCTGTTTCTGTCCAGTGTTTTGGCTCACACACCGTTCTGACCACAGAGATATTCTAGGTTAGTAACAGTGAGGGTGAAGATAATCAAATATGTAGTTAGGAAGTGATAAGCTATGGGGATTTATAAGTTTTGTTTTTCGAGACAGGGTTTCTCTGTGTAGCTTTGCGCCTTTCCTGGAACTCACTCTGTAACCCAGGCTGGCCTCGAACTCACAGAGATTCGCCTGACTCTGCCTCCCGAGTGCTGGGATTAAAGGCATGCACCACCACTGCCCGGCTTTAAGTTTGTTTTTTAATATAATCTAACCATAAATTTATGTCATTTAACTTTTAATAGAGAGCAATTAAGAACACACTTGCATTTTCTTGGTAAATTTAACTGGTTCTTGCAAGCTGGATTTGCTATCTCTAATGAAAGAACTGAGTAAAGTACAATAATGCAGGGCCTTGCATGCTTCGGTCATGCAATATAAAATGCTAAACATTCTTACTTTCGCTGGTGAAACTCCTTCAGTAGGACAGAGAGGCCACTTCTGACCCACGAGCTTCTGCACTTAGTTTTCACTCGTGACACAGTCTCTCATCCCTCATCATCTCCTAGGAGTATGACAGGTGAGCTGTGAGGAAGCATGGGAAACGCCATTTATCCTGGAAGCTGAGCAGGGCCTGGAATACCTTACACACAGCGGTAAGCTTCTGCCTTGAGTGTGGGAGGGCCTTGACACAGGTTTCCAAAACACTGAAGTCAGTGTCCGACACTGCAGGACACAAATCTCAGACTTGCAGCTGGGTGAGTTTTAACAAGTGTCCCCACCTGAAGGTAGGCGGAGAGTTCCGGGGCGCTCTCTTCCCTTCACCCCCTGCATGTGCCATGGGTGACTGGTGTTCTACTACCTATCGGTATGGAGTCATTTTGCCCCTTTTAAATTCATATAAAAGATCATGCGTGTGTAGTCTTATGTGTTTGGCATCCTTTGCTGACATGTGGGTAAGGCCCATATTTACTATAGACTTTTTATAGTAAATATAGTAGTTTATTCATTTTGCTTGCAAGCATGTCACCATTTGCTTATGATTCTCTTGTTTATGGATGCACGAGAGGTTTCTGCTCAGGGCTATTGTAATTTCCAGGGGCACAAGTATGCAGGCTTGTAGCTGAGTCTCTGGGCACTAGACTCTGTAGGTACTTCTACTGCAGACGCCTATCTAAAAAGCTGGTCCTGCTGCATAAAAAGGCATCACAGGTGCATAGAAGGAGCTGGAGCAAACCTCCCTGTAGACAAGCTTTGCTTGGGGACAGTGTCTGCGGACCTAC